TGTGTCCTGTGTTCGAGTCTTGGGTTGTTATCTGAAGTTACTGATTTTCTAACAGGAGGACTCCCTTTAGTATTTCTTGTAATTTTGGTTTGGTTTTTGCAAATTCCCTAAACTTCTGTTTATCTGGAAAGGCCCTAATTTTGCCATAATATTTGAGAGACAGTTTTGCTGGATATATAATTCTTGGCTGGCAGTTTTTTTCCTTCAAGGCTTTATATATGTCATCACATTTGCCTTCTTGCCTACATGGTTTCTGCTGAGTAGTCTGAGCCTATTCTTGACTTTCCTTTGTAGATGACGTTTTGTTTATCCCTAGCCACTCTTAAAATTCTCTCTTTATGTTTTGTTTTGGCAAGTTTGATTATAATATGTCTTGGTGACTTTCTTTTGGGATCTACCTTATGTGGGGTTTGATAAGCATCTTGGATAGGTATCTTGTCATCTTTCACAATATCAGGGAAGTTTTCTGCCCACAAATCTTCAAGGATTCTCTCTGTATTTTCTGTTATTCCCCCCTACCCCCGCATTCTGGTACTCCAATCGCTGGTAGGTTATTCCTCTTGATAGAGTCCCACATATTTCTTAGGGTTTCTTCATTTTTTTAAATACTTTTATCTGATTTTTCCTCAAATAAGTTCGTGTCAAGTGCTTTATCTTCAATCTCACTAATTCTGACTTCCATTGCCTCAATTCTGCTCCTATGTCTTTCTGCTGAGTTGTCTAATTCTGAAATTTTATTGTTAATCTTCTGGATTTCTGATTGTTGTCTCTCTATGGATTCTTGCAGCCTGTTAAATTTGTCATTATGGTCTTCTCTAATCTTTTTAATTTTCTCTATTGTGTGTTCTGTGTTTTGCTTCATTTCCTTCCTAATTTCTTGAAGAGTTCTGTATATTAATCTTTCGTATTCTGCCTTCGGTAACTCCAAGGAATTTTCCTCCTCTGGAAAATTTCTAGATTCTTTATTTGGGAGCTTACTGAAGCCATCATGGATTGCCTCTTTACGTGATTTGATATTGACTGCTGTCTCCAAGCCATCAATAAGTTATAATATTTATTTATTTAATGTTTGCTTACTGTGTCCTAGCTTCTTGTTTTGTTTTGATATGCCCAAACAGGCTGCTCGTAGGAGGTAGTTTGATTTTTGCTATCTTTGAAGGGCTAATGTCCTGTCACAAGATGTTTAGATTTTTTACTAGGTATGTGAGCTCAGGAGTCCGCCCACTCCTCCTGTATGGATTCAGCTCAGGTGCCCAGGTAGATAGCCACCAAGTGTGTGGTGTAGGCTGACACTTACGGTCCTAGACAGGCATAGGTGATTGGTGTAGGCACAGGCACCTGGCTGCAGCAGGGGGACACACTCTGAGCAAGGCAGGGGCTGACGGCCACCCCCAACTGTCCATGAGGAAGGCGTGTCCCTCTTCCCTAGAGCGCACAGGTAGGTGTGTTCTACACCCGGACTATGAGCACCTACTGATGTTGGCTTTAAGGACTGGGGGGCACCTCTTATTCACGGGCCCCTCTCACCGGTGGCTAGGTGGCGTGGGTGGAGCCACCAGTCCTCAGGCCCCTGATGTGGGTATGTGAAGATGCTGCTTAATGGGCAGAGCAGTGCAAATGTCACAAACTTTCCACTTCACAGCTGAAACAGTTGAAGTTTGTCTTCTGGTATATACCCTGTTGTACTGCGGTAATGAGGGCCTACACTGTTGAAATGGGCCCACACAAGTCTATGCAGGGGGAAAGGATCTCAAAGTCCATGGATCCCTTATGCCTGTGCCGAGGCAAAGGAGCTGTGCCTACGCTGGGTTTCTGGCTTAGGGGAGCCAGCAGTTTATTTTTTCCTGTTTGTTAATTTGTTCACTCTCCAAGGCCAGGTAAATGGCTCTGGGCATGTGACGGATCCTACTTCTGGCCAGGGGACTCAGCAGTAGCTGAAGCCGGTCCGGGACCCAGTGCATAGCAGGGAGCAGGGAGGTAAATGGGAGAGAGGTTTTTCTCTGAGAGGGGTTTTTTGATCAGCGTAGTAGTCTGGATGCAATTACTTGTCTTTTGCCGGTCGAGGGCTGCTTCTCACTGGTTCTGGGCAGCCAAGTAGACTCCCTGATGCTGGGTCTCTCCCGGTGTGGAAAACACGCCTCCCGAGCACGGCTGCTTGCCTGCCTCACTGCTCATCCCCGAGCTGCTCAGGCCTGAAGGGCTCAGGCTCTCACTGGGTTAGGAATGACAACTCCTCGCTGCTTCCAAACTGTCTTTCCCTCCCCCTTGCACTCAGTCTGGTTCCTCAACTCTGTCTTTTATGTTCAGGGCTCCAAGACTGCCATATATAATTGATTTACTTGTGTTTTTGGGTCTTTGTTGTAAGAAGGTCTACCAGAAGCGTCTGACTAGTCCGCCATCTTGGCCCCACCTAGTCATCTTTATTTTGAAGAAACACATTTTACTTTAAAATCTGCTAACAAGTTTAGAAGTTTTTTGGGTTGGGAGAAAAATGTGACATTGATTTTTAGTTCAACAACTCTTGTAAGTATTCTGTGAAAATACCAGGAAGCCTCTGTGTAATACAAAATATTCTCATGGTCACTCTCCATCTTATTATACAGTGTCATTGTGATTCCAAGATTATCAGTAAATCCACTCAACTGGGCATTTTGCTGGAATATGTTGAAAGTGAAAGAATGAGTGACAGGCCACTGCCAACCTGTCAGCCGGTGGAACTCCTGCTTTGCCCTCAGGAAGCCTCTGGTGCCACACATAACACGTTGCCCTGAGATATATGGACACGGTGAGGGTGCTGCCACAAATCTGTTTATTAAATATTAGAAAGCTTAATTCCTTTCTCATTAAGATACAAATATAAATCAGTAGAAGTCCTAATGTAGTCTTCCTATATTCCAAAGTATTATCTTGTGCACCCCACTGTGGAGACCAATGTTTCATAACAAAAAAAACTGAAACAACCAAAATGTCCAGCGATAGGGACTTGTTAAATAAACTAAGACAGAGATAGAGAGATAACTCCTATTGAGTCGACTCTGACTCATGGTGACCTAGTATACAACAGAACGAAATGTCCGGTCCTGCATTATCTTCACAATCACTGGCATGTTCGACTTCATTGTTGCAAATAAACTAAGGGGCATCTATATTAAAGAATACTAGAAGGAGCCCTGGTGGCACAGTGGTTAAGTGCTTGTCTGCTAACTCAAAGGTCGGTGGTTTGAAGCCATCAGCTGTTCAACGGAAGAAAAGATGTGGCGGTCTTTTTCCATAAAGATTACAGCACAGGAAACCCTAGGGGGCAGTTCTATTCTGTCCTATAGGGTCACTATGAGTCAGAATTGACTGGACTGCACACAACAGCAACAGCAACATACAGCCATTAGAATGATGATACAGATATGTGAAAATATGGAGTAAAAAAATTACAAAACGGTATTGTGGTATGGCCTCATTTTATAAAAACACTATATATCATTGCATCAAAAAATCTGAAGAAATACATCTCTCAAAACAGTAACATTAGGGAACCTCATACCATCAAGAAAGCAGTGCTGGGAGCAGAGCGCGTCCTTTGGACTGGGGTCCCTGCGCAGAGAAGCTCCTAGTCCAGGGGAACACCAAAGGGGAGAAGGCCGACAGAGAGAAAAAGCCTTCCCCTGGAGCTGACGCCCTGAATTTGGACTTTTAGCCTACTTTGACTATGAGGAAATAAACTTCTCTTCATTAAAACAAAACAAAACAAATATAACAGTAACAGTAGATGGGTCACATGTGATTTTATTTTCTTCCTTTTTAAATAAAATCTGTATTTTCTTGAATTTCTACTAATGAACACTTCTTTCCATGCTCACTACTGTGACTCTCATAAGAAAGGACCAAATTCTTGAATTTGACTGCTTTCCTCATCTGTATTGGAAGGCCATTTTCACCTTGTGTGTTAGCTAAGCTTTAGTTCTCAGAATTTTCTATTAGAAAGTCTTTGATAGGCATCTACAATCTCAGAAAAAAAAATTAATTATATAGTGAAGAAAATCAAAAGAAACATTTTTATTTCAAAATTCTTTGGGTCTTTAAGGGCTATTAAAAAAAGAAGAAAAGAAAAGAAAACAGAATTCAATGAACATATTTGTGACAAAGACCTAGCAGTACTGGAGAGACCTGTAGACGATTTGGTTGAGGCCAAATATCAGACCAGTTTTGCTTTCTTCTCATCATCTGTAAATAAGCCAGCAACACTGTGGGGTCTGCTCTTTGCTTGATGCTGCTTCCACTACACTGTGATGCCCAATTTCACAGTAAAGGGCAAAGTCACAAGTGTTACCTCGAAGATTTTCTTACATGTTCAACTACATATTTTCTATTCTCTTCACACTATTTACCATTCCCACCAATGCGTTAATAAGATTAATGTCTCTTCATTACTCTAAACCTTTTCAAAAATGCATTTTTGAAGGATGTCTTGGAGATAGGCTTCTTTCTTTCTCATAACATCTCATTGCCTATCTCTGCCTCCATGCCCAGACAAATAACTTTATTAGTAGAAAAGGAATCTGGGAATGTTCTACTTCCTACAGCTGGAGAACTCCAAGTAGAATCCTTTCTACAGATGGCTTTTTTGAGATCTCAGGGTTTGCTGATCCCTGGCTTGTTCATCTGTATTATGCTCCCTGGGACTTGCATTTGAGTTAGGTTGGAAGGTTTGGGAGGCATTTCCTTACTTCCTGATTGCCAGCTAAGAGTATGAAGAGTCCAACAAAAGTCCAGTTATTTCTGGAGGGAACAGGATAGCAAGGTTTTTTTATAGTTCTTTGAACTCATCAGATACGTCTTCCTGGCACCTCCTGCATGTACAGGCTGGACTGGCTTAGTTGTTGCCTGTAATTCAACCCCTTCAGCGATATTACCAGTTCAATTCACTGGGAAAAATGACTACACCATTGGTATTTATTTTTAAGAAACCACTTTAGATTCATGCAATAAAGTGGGTGCTAACTCACCTGGGGAGCAGGTGACTGAGTCCTTCAGTTGCTTAGCTTTAGTTGTCACCTGTTTCAAAGATAAAAGCAAAAAAAAAAAAAGTTAAGTTACTGAGCTTAAACTCAAATTTTAAATTCAGACTCTTTCAGATGATCTTTCCACATATCTATGGTGGGTTGAGTGACCTCCTTCATTTAAGATTCATGTGAATTAACAGGGTTCTTGAATCTTAGGCCCGAAAGGACCCTCAGTCATCAGTCTGTTTATTTAGCCAACAAGGAAACTGAGGCCCACAGAAATTGAATGACTTGCTCCAAATTAGTCATCTGATCAGTGGCAGATTCAGAATAAACCTCAGATCTCCTAAGTACTTCTAGTTCAATAAGAGTTCCGTTATACTAGGCTGCCTCTTAAAACATACTAGTTTCAAAATCACTACGCAAACTGGTCATTTTTGGTTGTTGTTAGAATTCACAGAAAGTGAATACCATTCTTCACTTGTGAATATCATAATCAGTGGGGGAAATGACATTTATGCTAATGATGTTATGTCTTTTTTTCTTTACGTCCTAGAAAGAAACCTAAGAGCATATAAGACAGACACAAAGGAGTGGGGCAGCAGGACCAAAGGACCATGGTGTATTTACATACATATGGATCCACAGAAGTAAATAATTCTGTTTGGTGGTAATTATTTCTTTTTTTTAATGTAAATAGTACTGTATTTTATGTTCAGTCATAGCTTGCTTTTTTTTTAATTTAACGAGGTCTTAGAGATCTACATATAGATTTCCCCCCTTTTTATTAAGATAATATTTATATATGGTAGAATATACACACTTCAGATGAACAATTTTATGAGTTTTAACAAATAAATAGACCCATGTAACCAACATTCCAATAAATTATAGAATATTGCCGTTATTTCAGAAAGTTCCCTTGTGCTTCTAGTCAAGCCGTGCCCCAAGACAGAAAATCACTGTTCTGGTTTCTATTATGTATATTTTAAAATCTGGGGTCAAAAATAATTTTTTTTCAAATGGATAGTTAATTGCGCCAATGTATTTATCAAACAATCTACCCTTTCTCCATTTATTTAAAATGTTAACTTCGTTAAAATTAAATTTCACTGTATATAGGGCTGTTTTTCTATACTTTATATTTTATCCCATTAATTCAAATATATTCCTGAAGCAACATTTCAGTGATTTAATAAAATTTCAAAATGAAATGTCAGAAAGCATGAGTTAAGAGCTTGGAGTTAGTCAGATCTGGTTTTCAATCTTGGTTCCACCTCCCGTTTGCTGGATAACTAAGTCATTTTTTATCCTTTCTCTGTAATATGTGGGTAATACTACTACTACCACTTGCCTCTTAGGGATGTTTTAAGTTTGAAATAAGCTTTTAGCATGATACCTGTCAGACAGTAAAAGCTCAGCAAATATTATTATTGAAACAGATAATTTGTTTTCATTCATACAAAGGACTGGATTAGAGAAAACATTTAAAGCTCTTTAGGAACACTCTTCAATTCTGTTCTCTACCTTCCTCTCTCTTTACAGATGATCTTGCTTCCTATTTTATATAAAAATTTGAAGTCATCCAACACGAGCTTCCTTAATTTCCACATTTCCCAATTCAAAATTTGATTGCATCACCACATGTCAATCCCTTCTTTTATCCCAATTCAAAGAAAGACATTCTCTTCCTCCCTCGAGGCTAATATGCTATTTGAATGCGCACAGAACCATGTCCCATCAATTAATTTCCTTTGCTTTTATGTTTAACTTTTATCTATCTATCAGATACTTCCCATAAACCTTCATACTTAGCTCAAGTGGTCTCTGTTGTAAAAGACTATCATCCCTTGATCTTGTCTTTTCTATTACACTTGGCTTTCATGAGTGTATCTCCTGGTTTTCCTTCTCTTTTTCTGAATGTTGTTTTGTTGGCCCTTCCTATATGCTCCTGCTGCTTGCTTCCTAATATAATTGTTCCTCAACATTTGATCCTTGTCATTCTCTTTATTTTCTCCTTTGGTATCTTATCTATTCAACAATACTTTAGAAACTAAACAATTAACTTATGTCCCTGGCTGTGACCTCTGCCATGGAATGCCAGTGTCACAGAAATTGACCATGTAACAGCCAATCAACAGGCCTGAAAGGGATTTCATCTATATAATAATAAGCTTACTGTCTACCAGACACTGTTCTAAACAAGATTTATACGAAGATTTACATGTGTGTATATACATATTCCTCACAGCAGCCACATTAGATAAGTATGTAATTATTATCCCCATTTTATAAAAACTGAGGCCCAGAGAGAATAATAACATGCCCAAGGTTAAAAGGATAGTCAGTAGCAGAACCCAGGCAAGTCTGGCTCTAAATCTTTGCTCTCAATCACTATAATACACCGCCTTTCTAATCCGAATCTCTTATTTTACAGATGAAGAAATTGGCCAAGAGAAGTTAAGCTAGTTATTGGGAGAGCCAGGCCTGGCTTCCTGATGGCTCGGTCCAGCACTCTTTTTGCTACACTACATGGCTTTCCTCTCTACCAGCCACTTTATCTCTCATTTAGAGCTCCTCTAACTAAAGGAGTTTCCAGCTTCTCAAACTAAGCAAACCCCAAACTACACTCACCAACTTTCCTCCCAAAACAACTTCTCTGGTTTTCTTTCCTTTTCTCCTTGTTTTTCCTTCTCTTAACAGTACTACTATCCCAGTCACTTAGGCTCAAAACCTAAGAGTCAACTGTTGGACTTTTCTTTCTCTTTCCAACCAGCTGCCAAGTTCTTCACAATATCACAAAATCATTACTATCTGCTCCCTCCTTGCTCAGACCTCCACCACCTAATTCCTTCATTCTCACCTGGTTGAACTAATATAACAGCCTTCAAACTGGTCTCCAATTTACCCATTACTAGTTATTATAGAATAACATCCCCAAGGCAGAGCTCTGATCAAATACCTTTGATGGCTTTTTATCGACTATATATTAACGTGTTCAGTTCTTAACCTGTCAGGTAAGGAAATCCACAATCGGCCTCTACTTTCTTTTCTGTACAGGCATGTCTTGTTTAATTGCACTTCGCAGATAATGCATTTTTTACAAATTGAAGGGTTGTGGCAACCTTGCATTGAGAAAGTCTATCAGCGCCATTTTTTCCAATAGAATGTACTCCATGTCTGTGTCACATTTGGTAATTCTCACAATATTTAAAACTTTCTCATATTATATCTGTTATGGTGATCTGTGATCAGTGATCTTTGATGTTACTATTGTAATTGATTTGGGGCGCCACAAACTGCACCCATATAAACATTAACTGATAAATGTGTGTGTTCTGAGTGCTCCACCGACCAGCAATTCCCCTATCTCTCTCCCTCGCCTTGGGCCTCCCTGTTCCCTGAGACACAGTAATACTGAAATTAGGCCGATTAATAACCCAACAATGGCGTCTAAGTGTTCAGGTGAAAGGAAGAGTCACACGTTTTTCACTTTAAATCAAAAGCCAGAGATTATTAAGCTTAGTGAGGAAGGCTTGTCAAAAGCTGATAGGCCGAAAACTAGGCCTCTTGTGCCAAACAGTTAGCCAAGTTGGGAATGCAAAGGAAAAGTTCTTAAAGGAAATTAAAAGTGCTACTCCAGTGAACACAAGAATGACAAGAAAGCAAAACATCCTTATTGCTGATATGGAGAAAGTTTTAGTGCTCTGAACAGAAGATCAAACCAGCCACAACATTCCCTTAAGTCAAAGCCTAATCCAGAGCCTAATTCAGTTCTATGAAGGTTGAGAGAGGTGAGGAAGCTGCAGAAGAAAAGTCTGAAGCTAGCAGAGGTTGGTTCCCGAGGTTTAAGGAAAGAAGCCATCTCAATAACCTAAAAGTGCGAAGTGACGCAGCAAGTACTGGTATAGAAACTAGCTGCACAAGCCATCCAGAAGATCTAGCTAAGATAACTGATGAAGGTGGCTACGCTAAACAACAGATTTTCAAAGGAGACAAAACAGCCTTATATTGGAAGAAGATGTCATCTAGGACTTTCATAGCTAGAGAGAAGTCAATATCTGGCTTCAAAGCTTCAAAGGATAGGCTAACTCTCTTACTAGGGGCTAATGTAGCTGGTGAAGTTGAAGCCAATGCTCATTTACCCTTCTGATACTCTTAAGGCCCTTAAGAATTATGCTAAATCTACTCTGCCTGTGCTGTACAAATGGAACAACAAAGCCTGGATGACAGCACATCTGTTTACAACATGGTTTACTGAATATTTTAAGCCCACTGTTGAGACCTACTGCTCAGAAAAAAAGATTCAAAGTATTGCTGCTCATTGACAATGTACCTGGTCACCCAAGAGCTCTGATGGAGATGTACAAGGACATTAATGTTGTTTTCATGCTTGCTAGCACAACATCCATTCTGCAGTCCATGGATTAAGGAGTAATTTCAACTTTCAACTCTTATTATTTAAGAAATACGTTTTGTAAGACTATAGCTGCCATAGATATAGTGATTCCTCTGATGGATCTGGGTGAAGTAAATTGAAAACATTCGTGATTTGTGGGAGGAGGTCAAAATATCAACATTAACAGGAGTTTGGAAGAAGGTGATTCCAACTCTCATGGATGACTTTTGAGGGGCTCAAGACTTCAGTGGATGCAGTAATTGCAGATATGGTGGAAAGAGCAAGAGAACTAGAGGTAGAAGTGGAGTCTGAAGATGTGACGGAACTGCTGCAATCTCATGATAAAACTTTAATGGATGAGGAGTAGCTTCTTACGGATAAGCAAAGAAAGTGGTTTCTTGAGGTGGAATCTACTCCTAGTGAAGACGCTGTGAACATTGTTGTAATGACAACAAACCATTTAGAATATTACATAACTTAGTTGATAAAGCAACACCAGGGTTTGAGAGGATTGACTCCAATTTTGAAAAATGTTCTGCTGTGGGTAAAATGCTATCAAACAGCATCCCATGCTCCAGCGAAATCCTTCATGAAAGGAACAGCAAATTGATGTGGCAAACTTCATTGTTGTCTTATTTTAAGAAGTTGCCACA